TGTTATACCAAATGGCATTCATTGAATAAATCCCAGTATTTACACATTCCATGTTCACGTGCAAGTTTCACATATGTTTTGAGGATTTTTACATCTATATTCATAGAGGGTATGAATGTTTAATTGTTTTTCTGTAGGTGTCTTTCTCTTTCTGTTCTCAATCTCTTTGTCTCCCTCCCTCTCACTTTCTCTTAAGATGTATAAAGATAGTTTGTACATTTTGGTCACAAGTTTGGAATTAGCCATTTTTCCAGGGAGCTTAGAGTGTTAGAATGGTCAAAGCTGTTGGAGTGTCATTGTGTATTGGTTGTTGAGTAACTAAGGCTGTTATGCTCTTGTTTCTGGAATACATGGTGGCCTTTTAAAAAAAAATCCATGAAAAAGTATAATGCTGAAAAAATAAAATCAGAACACTGCATTTATATAAAAATAGTCAGTGATTAATTTGGGGGTACACTAGAACTTTGGTTTGTGAGTATAATTCTTTCTGGAAACATGGTTGTAATCCAAAGCACTATATATCAAAGCTAATTTCCCCATAAGAAATTATGGAATCTCAGATGATTCATTCTACAACTCAATAATATTCATATAAAATGATTACAATACTGTAACACAATGCAAAGTAATAAATACAATATAAAATATGAAGAAAAATAAATTAACCTGCACTTACTTTTGAAAACTTTCATGGCTGGTGTGAGGAAGACAAGAGAGAAGGGTTATTGGGTAGGATGACTTTTACTGTCATTAAGGGAATCACTGCTATCTATAGGCTCAATAGAATCTTTTCCTCTTCCTCTTCCTCTTTCTCTTCTCTTGGTTCCAGGAATTGCACTCAGGATGTTGCACTTGCCAGGCAGGTGCTATGCCACTGAGGTATATCCCTGGCCCAGTGTTTTTCTTTTTGTGTAATTTTAACAAGGAACCTGTCCAGTGACACTAGATTTTGCCGCCTTTTGAGGATTTTGCAGAAGAGTGACATTGCATTGTTGTTAAAAGATTCATTGCTCACAGTGCTGCAACCTTATTCCACTAGTGCTTTTCTGCAGAATTTTGCATTCTTTCTCACATTTTACACATCTCTCTAATCTCACTTGAAGCGAAAGATTCCTCTGCCTTTTTCTCCTCCTCTGTAAACAAGATCTCTGTAACCTCCTGCTGCTGGGAGAAACCACCCACAATCCCTCAGCAAGAGAAAAACTGAAAAACCATTGGCTCAGTTGTGAGCGTGTGATATTCAGTGTCATGTGATACTTGTATTGCAAGACGTCGCTCATCAAATTAAAATTTATTAATGTTTGCTCATCTTGTGAAACACTTACAGAACAATTACTTGCAATCCATGGTTTTACTGTATATACATAAGAGGTTAAAAAAATGTAAAAGCAATAAGGAATACAAATTAAGAATGCTGATTATCTTTCACAGCAGGTTTAGGGTGGTAACAGTTGAATAAGCGCACTTACAATGCTCTTAGCTGATGAGTACAGTAACTCTTCTTTATATGTGAGAGATACAAAAGATGCCCCATCAGTGGATGCTTAAAACCACAAATAGTATTGAGCTCTATATGTATTGAGTTTTTTTGTACATATGTACCTACAATATGGTATTAGGTACCATAAAAGATTAATACTAACTAAGAGAACAATTGTGGTACTATACTATAATGAAAGTGAATATGATCTGCCAACCCACTTTCAAAATATCTTAATGTACGTCTTTCTTTTCATTTAAAGTAAGCACTTTACTGCTTCACTCTGACATATTTGAATTGCCAGTATCACTTTGTACTTTGGACCATTATTAAAATAAGGACTACTTGAAGGTAAGCACTACATGCCCAGGTCAGTGAATCTTATAACTGAGGTCACTACTAAATTACTATCCGGGCAGGGAGCATATTACAGTGTGGATACTTGGGACAAAAGAATAATTCATATCCAGGCATTCTGGAGATGTCTGTGAGATTTCATCATGTTACTCAGAATGGCACACAATCTAAAACTTAATGAATGGCTTATTTCTGGATATCTCCTTTTAATATCTTCAGACTGTAGGTAACTGAAAGTGTAGAAAGCAAAACCATAGATAATGGGAGATTACCAAATATAGATGTGTATTTTTATATTAATTTTGAAATATGTACAGGTGGTATATTTTCATATGCCTGTAAGATTTTTACATTGCTCATTTACAACATTTAAAGGTGCTTATATGCAGTATGAAGCATTGTTGAATTTTCCTACACTTTGTAAGTAGTCTGTAAAATAATTTCTGATCTTTTGCAAAATAAATGTAACGTTCTTTCTGACCATGACTGTTGAAGTCCTCATAACCTTTTATGGTCCTGAGTCAGTTGATGATCCATATTGATAAAGAATAGGTTATGATGACCATTGCAATGCAAACAAATCAATTGCATATATATTGTAAACCTAAACATGAAACAAAGGATTTATCAGAAAAGATGGAAAAATATCCTCATGATATTGAGGTAGACGTAATCTTATTCGGCATACATAATGCCATGAACATATAAAAAATATAAAGAAAAAATTGATTTAACTCCATCAAAGTTAAAAACTTCTCTTTCTCAAAAGTATCCTAAATAAATTTTGGTATTTTCAAACAGTTGGAATATCTACAGTTTTGAGAATTACTGAAGTATAATTTTACCCAACAACATGGACAAATTTCACAGATACAATGATAAGTGAAAAATCTGTACAATTATGTGCTACATAATTCCATTTGTACAAAATTAAATAAATAAAATCTACAGTGTGCAAAAAAAGAATACAGTTACCTTTTATCTGGAAAATGCATATGAGGCAATTTCTACTGTTCTGGTAATATTCTCTTTGGTTTTTTTTTTTTTTTTTTTTTTTGGTTTTTCTCCGGTACCGGGAACCGGACTCACGACCTTGCGCTTGCCAGGCAGGCGCTTTTACCGCTGAGCTAAATCCTCAGCCCCGTGGTAATGTTCCCTTTATTAATTTGTATGTTAATTATACAAATGTGTTTACCTGGAGATGATTCTTTAAGTTGTACACTTACTGTTTGAGTAATTCTTTTTATGTATGTTGTGTTTCAATAATATGTACCAAAAAAAATAATAATGTTTACTAGGAATTTAGATGTATGGAAATATGTATAGAGTTGGCTTTCTTTGGGGGAGAAAAAGGAAGAATCAGTAATTTATGCATGCTTCCTCATGTATGTGTAAAGTGTTAACAGCTGTATCTCCAATTTATTTTTATTTTTCTCCGGTACCGGGAACCGAACTCACGACCTTGCGCTTGCCAGGCAGGCGCTTTTGCCGCTGAGCTAAATCCCCAGCCCCTGTATCTCCAATTTATATCAGAAATTGATGCCATTTTTTGTGTGGAGTGATGAAAGATAGATGGTAGGGAAATTTTTTGAGATTATTTGGTTAATTCCAGAAAGGATGGAGGTATCCTGAATTTCATGGGTTTTTTTTTGTTTCTTTTGAGACAAGAGTTTCACTGTGCAGTTCAAGCTGGCCTTGAACTCACACATACCCACTGACCTCAAATTTATGGCAATCCTCCTGCCTCAGCCTTGCAAACGCTGGGATTACTGGTGTGCACCACCACATTCAGCAAGTGTTTCATGTTTTAGAGTGCCTTTTGCACTACTGAATTTGTGTTATTGTAAGAATCTCGATGTAGTGTTTGTACCCAATTTTAGACAAGATGTTACATGAATGAAGTCGATAAAATGGAATCATAAACAGTTCTCCGAATGGCAGACAGTTTTATGTATTCTTACAAAACTTGTGGGTGTGAATACTTGTCTGAAGAGATCTATATAATTATATTCATATGGAAACTTGGGCTATGATGATTTCTGTAAAGATAAAGTAAGCAGGTATCAAAAAACTAAATGTGTCAAAAAACTAAAAACTACTACTAGTGTTAGCAGCTGATACCAAGCAACATGCAGCATGGGTATGAGTCTCTGATTTCTATGGATCTCTGAACAACTGTGGCATGTCACACTACACTTCTATATGCAGAGTATCACACAAATTGACTTAATGTAGGAGCAGTGAATAACAGATGCCCTACTCTGCCTGTCTCACCACTACTTCTGAATAGATTTGTTGTCACTGATACTATTCTTGGCAAACAGCATCCTGATAAAAATTCTTGTGTTTGGTGCAGTTGGTTGTGTGCTTAGCTGGTTGAAGTTACATTTGGATGATAACACATTTTCATCAGCATAGTCTTTGCTTCTGAATTAAAATGAATAAATATGTTTGTTTAAATAACTTTGATTTGGTCAACAGAGTAAGTAGAAATTACTGATAAACTACATACTTTGTTGCTACCTTGGTTTCTTTCTGGTGTTTTAACATTTTCATTATTTTTACCTTGGGAAAATTTTTGTTTTTGTTTGTTTTCAGGTCTATTTATATCAAAAGTATTTTTCAGGTCTTTTTAAAGCTTTCTGTCTTCTTTCTATCAGTCTGGTCATATGTGTTTGTTTTTTCCTGCCTGCCTTTAAAACAAGTACCTGTCTATTTATATGTTGAATCTATTAGTCAAGTTCATGTCCTTTATTTCCTAAACATTCTACAAATATTTATTATGTTTTTGTTATATTTGTGTTTTATGTGATACACATGCAAATTTCTAAACCATTTCCAAGCAGAAATCTATAAAATGGGTTATATATGGCAGAGTATAACTTCTTGAACTATAGTTTACATGCTTTTGCCAAAAAACTATACATATATGTGTGTATGTATTTCTTCCTGATATAAACTGAAAATAAATTATATGGGAATATCTTTATCTGCTGTATCTTCTTAATGTATATGCCTGATCCAGGAAAAATATAGAAATTTCTATGTGTTCTTATGTAGAGTATCCTCAATGTTTTTGGGCCTAGAAGTTGTCCATGACCCACTTCCTCTGACATTAATTGATCAGAATGTTCTCCTTTTCTCTTTATTGTACTTACCATAGGTGGAAGAGCTGTTGATTGCCATGGAAAAAGTAAGACAGGAACTAGAGTCCATGAAAGCAAAGCTGTCTTCTACTCAGCAATCTCTGGCAGAAAAGGAAACTCATTTGACCAATCTTCGAGCAGAGAGAAGGAAACACTTAGAGGAAGTTCTAGAGATGAAGTAAGTGTTTGAAACCTTTGGGCACATTCATCTTCTGACTTTGTTTTATTCCTAAAACACCTAGTCTAATTGTTATGCTAGCTTGTATCTGTCACTCTCTAGAACAAACCTCGTGAAAAGAACTACAAATCCTGATCACACACAATTATTTAAGTTCTTTTTCAATGAACTTTAAAGTACTTTAGTGTGTATTTATCTGTGTCTAATTGCCTTTCTGAGATGGTATGGAGACTAGACAATTTTTAAAATTACCTCTTCTTATAAACATTCTCACAGAAAGTAGTGTAATTACTTCCTTTGTACCTACCCCTCAGATTTAACATTTCGCCATACTAGAAGCTGATTTTTACAAAATTGTTACTTTGAAAGAAGCTAATTTTTACAAAATTGTTACTTTCAACAAAGATGTACTCTACCTCATTTTCTTACTTGCCCCACCACATCTTGTGATTATCCTCTGTTGTGAAGTGTGTATGTATCTACTAGTACATAATAGATGCTGCTTTTCTCCTGTGTGATGCTATGTGTCTTGAAAATCTAGTGGTACTGATGTAGGAGAGATACAGCTCCGGACCTGATGTGTCAAATTTGTGTTGCCTGAAATCAAAGAATGAATTCCAAGGAACAATGAAAGTTACGAGTGGGAAAGATTTATTGAGAGAGAGAGATAGAGAATGAATTCAAGAGGGGAGTGCGGGTGCTCAGAGGAATAGGACATACACTGTTGGGAATTGGGGAATAGGAATGGGAAACAGGAATAGCTCCTGAGGGACAGGAGAGGGTCCCCAGTGGGTTGCCCCTGAGATCAGCTATCCAAGAATGTTTTATAAGGAGAAATCATGAGGTGGATACAACGTGGGTGAAACTATAATCAATCAATAAGATTACAGGTATAGCTGTTTAGCTAATATTGATCTAGTAGTGAAGCAGAGCGTGTAGCAAGACCATATGGATGACATCATTAACTTTGGTCAATAATCGTTGGTCAGTAAGTCTTAGTCTTTAGTTTCAGTCCTAGTGGGTAGGAGAGGATGGCCCATCCCTATTGAGATAATGTTCTATTTCAATTACAGTATAACCTCAAGCTTCCATTTATCCCTTAGCGAAGTATATAAATCTGGGCATTGGGATTTTTTTTTTAAATGTTTTGTTTTGTTTTGGTTTTGGCCATTGCAATTTTAATCTCAAAGTCTTGCCTTCTTCAGTTGCTCCTCTAGTCACAGTTTTGATGTGTTGTCATCTTCTGCACTGACTCCCTTGAGGTCCTGGCATGACTGCCTGTTAATTTTTATCTGTCTTAGCTACCTGTAATAGTACTATCTCATTTACCATTAACAGCTTTCACCCTTGCCTAAAGACCTTACTCCCATTCTACTGACACCAGGTCTCTCATGAGATCCCTTAGTTTCCTGCGTTAAGCCAATAGTTACCTGTATTTTTGTTGGCTTCTGTTCTGTCTCAGAGATAATCTTTCTTTCTTATGGCGTCATTTTCTTTTCTCTTTCACAGATTTCAAATATTAGACCCTCTAGTGTTTTACTAATTTTCATGTAATCATTGCTCACTTTCTATAATTTCCTTCTCTGCCTAAATACAGTCTTTCTTTGGCTAAAGTAAACAAATGTTTTTCAACATCACCACCTCTTTTCTGGTACTTTTACCTGGTAGCCTGCTTCTATAAGTAGCTCACCAACTAAACATTACTGGGTCCTGGCTTGCGTGCCTCTCCCTCTAGAGTTAGTTTCCAGGTTCTTCTCATCTCAAATGAAGACTTGAACAAAGCGAGCAAAAATAGTGACAAAGTTTCTTTGAGAAAATAAAAGTGAAGAGCTGGGGAGAGACTGGCTCTGTAGAATGAGCTTGGGCAAAGTAAAAGGGGAAAAAGTAAGATAAAAGAATAACCTAGAGAAAGGGCGGGTCATTTTGAGAAAAAACCACCATAGCAAATTCTTCTTGTGGTGCCTCTCCTTTTATGATGTCCAAATCTCGAGGAAACAGGTCCTGAGAGGGGGTGCTGGGATCTTATGCCTCAGGCTGACATCAGGTCTAGGCCATCCTACTGAAAACCTGTTTGAGTTCTCGGGAGAAGTCCAAGTGCAGGGCTTTGGGAACTTCTGGGCATGTGTCTGGGATCTTGTAATTAACAGGTCATGCCTATTCCCCTGCCAGCTTTGTGATGCCTTATTCTCCTGTCTCGTTACTTGAGCAATCAACAAATTTTGGACACCTGATTAATAGAGTAGCTGAAGATCTTGCCTTTATACTTACTTTGAAGTTTTGTGGAACATGGGCTGGTTATCTACCTCAGTGGTACAAGTGTCTGCCTGACAAGTGCAAGGTCCTGATGTTCGATTCCCAGCACCCCCCAAAAAAAAAAAAAGTTTCATGGGATGTAATTTTTGTGATAGCATTTGGAGAGTTGAGAAAGCAAATGTTGGGGTACCTGTGATTATGGGTTGGTAGGCCACAGTGCAATGTTAATAGCTTTTTGTTTGTTTGTTTTTAGACATGGTCTCACTACGCAGTTCAGACTGGCCTTGCACTCACTATGTAACCCAGATTTCCTCATACTCAGAGCAATCCTCCTACCTCAGCCTCCTGAGTGCTGGGATTATAGGCATGTGCCACCATACCTGGTGTAAGGTTAATAGATTTTAACCTTTCAGAAAAGATAGATATATGCCTTTACATTTTCTAGATGATATTCTTTTGGAAATACTGAGTAAATGAAGTAAGAAGTGACTGCTTAAAGAAAAGAGTGAAGTTAAGGTTCTGAGTATCACCATGAGAAAAAAGTTTCCCAGTATCTTTTATAGAAATAAGTTAGTGAAAGATGGCAAGTTTTTTGTCACTGGAAGCAAAATTCAAAGCTTGATATTTTGAAGATCAGTAATAGAGATAATTTAGCAGTTAAATAAAACCATTAGATTTAAAGAAGTCTGGAAAACATTCCTGGAATGTAGTAGGAGATAGTGACTATCAAACCAGGTCCCTAAGCAAGTGGAAGGTGAGTGCAGGTAATATTTGGGAGAAACAAAGCATCATGTGTGCTACGCCTGTGCAGAAGCAGGCCTTGCTGCAGCAGCAGTGTATAAAATTAGGTTTGTTTCCTCAAACTACCAGTATATGACTTTACTTGCCAGATCTTTTCCACTCAATTCAAATGGCAACTTACAACAAAATAGTGGTATATGTATTTTGAAATTTCCCTTCATCATTAGGACTTGGAAATGAAAGTATATATGAAAGAGTGTGTTAAAGAATGTTGGAATGA